GGGGTTTCACCATGTTGACCAGGATGGTCTCGATCTCTTGACCTCGTGATCCACCCGCCTCGGCCTCCCAAAGTGCTGGGATTACAGGCTTGAGCCACCGCGCCCGGCTATTTGTACACTTTAAAAGAGCATCGTTAAAATGGACTTCTGACCAAAGTGCAGGTCTCAGATGTCTATTTTCCTCACAACACCAAGCTGCCCTAGCTCACTCCGGGTCTAGAATACTGCAGTGCTAGGCCACTGCCACTCCCATACCTGGCAGGACATGGCAGGGTCACCACTCTTTGGCTCAGCCCAGACCAGGCATTGCAATTCTTCTCACAGAGACCTTGATAAGAAAACTGTTTGCCATGCTGCCTTAAGCCAGTGGTTGGATTTCAGGCTCGAGCTAGCAAATAGAAAAGGCAGGGAGGTGCTTTTCAGAACCTTTGAGATCAAACAGCCAGGGCGCTGAGCCCCGTGTTTGCAGGGAGGACCATGGCCAATGTAAGAGCCTGGCTCAAGGGACACCAGAGTTTCTGGGGGTATCTGGGATCTTTGGGGCAGTGGGGACAGTGCAGAGAGCTTTTCACAGAGCCAAGGAGATAACCCAGCACCCAGTGAGTGGATGAATCCATGGGCTCTGTGTGGGAGTGAGGGGGGCCTTCCCGGCTTTCACATCCAGGTGCATGGGAGCCCCGATCCCCCATGAGTCTGTCTCAGAAGTAAATGGCAAAAGCGCTAAGAAGACAACCCCAGAGGAGGGGGAGAATTCTGAATTGTTTATAGCTCTGTTGTTATTTTGTTTTGTAACCTCAGAAAACTGGTTTATCCTTGGGAAGAGTTAGTTTCTTCATCAGGACAATGAAGAAAAATCCAGCCATCCCTTCCTAGGGGAGGTACCATGAGTGGTGTGAAGGTAAGCAAGGGGACCTGGTTTGGAATCCTGGCTGACACCGGCTCTCACTTTAAGAAACTGCAAGGGATGGCCACAAGAGAGGAAGCCACAGACCAGGCTGGACCCTGAGCCTGGTGTACCACTTTTTCTCTCCTTTGCCTGGTAAACTCCTTGCTCTTCAAGATTCAGGGCCGGGCGCGGTGTCTCACGCCTGTAATCCCAGCACTTTGGGAGGCCGAGACGAGCAGATCACAAGGTCAAGAGATCAAGACCATCCAGGCCAACATGGTGAAACCCCGTTTCTGCAAAAAAATACAAAAAGTAGCTGGGCATGGTGGCGCACACCTGTAGTCCCAGCTACTCGGGAAGCTGAGGCAGGAGAATCGCTTGAACCTGGGAGGAGGAGGTTGCAGTGAGCCGGGATCGTGCCACTGCACTCCAGCCTGGTGACAGAGCGAGACTCTGTCTCAAAAAGAAAAGAAAAAAACAAAACAAAACAGGTTGAGCAGAGATGACACCTTCTCTGGGAAGGTTTCCTGAGTCTCCTGCAGTGAGCTCCCCTGCCTCCCTCCCTAGGCTCCCCCAGCCCTTGGCTCTTATCTCTTAGCTCTTATCTCTCAGTAATCTGAGACCCGCATTTTGGTTAGAAGTCTATTTTAAAAATGATCTTTTAAAATGTGTACATAGAAACCTTATCTTAAGATACTGCAGCTACCTATTTGCAGGCCTAAGTACCCCCCAAGTCTGTATGGGTGCTCAGGCTGGGCCTTTGTCTGCAGGCTTGCGGAGGGAGGCAGGACGGGCCAGTGACCACATTCCTGCACTCTGGGCTGCCTCCGATGGGGCCCTGGAGGGAGCCGCAGCCCTCCCCATTGCGTGCAGGGCCTGGGCTGTGTGGGTGGTTCTCCCGAGTCTCCTCCAGCCCTGTTTTTGGGCCTGATTCTCTGACCCTTCCCTCTCTCCTTGCTTACCACTTGGCACTTCACTCCTTATCCTTTTGCTGCATTAGGTTTAGAAAGAGATTTTGGAGAAAAATATAGCCCCTGCCGATGAGTTTCTCCTCCTTTCAGGGCCTGTGCAGGCTTGTGCCATGCCCCCCCCCTTCCTCCCCGACAGCCAGCGCCGGCCACATCCTCCCTGCACCTTGTCTGCTTTCCCTGCCTCTCCCTGGGCTCCGGGTCTGTGCCCACAGTGTCCTGCCTGGCCCTGGCGCCGCCTCTGGGTGCCCACATTCCTGCAACCCCGTGACCACAACAGGGGCCATTACACATTCCTGGCCTGGCAGCCAATGGTGTAAAACAGAACAGAATGTCCTAGGGCCCTGCCCAGCCCCCAGCCTTACCTGGGCCCCTCCCTGGGTCTGGACAAGGTTGGAGGGGGTGGTGAGGAATCAGCAGGAAAGAGGATGGACCAGGTGGAGGCAGATGCACCCCACCTGAGTGCACTGCTCCCCCACCTGAATGAGCGGGGAGGAGACTTACAGAGACCTCTTCTCTCTTCTCTCCAGGGCCTGGGGGTGAGGCTGACCTGTGAGTGCCCTTGGAGGGTTTCCCACTTGCAGAGACTCTATCCCCTGGATGCACACTTAGGACTCCTCCCTTGCACTCCTACCTGAGAGAGTCTCCCATCTCCACCTCTTCTCACTCGGTGCCCCCCCATCCCTGTCTCTCCATCCTGCGCTGTCCGCTGTCCCTCACTATTATCTCCCTTTTTCTGTCCTCCTGTCCTCCGGGTTCCCCGCCCAGGCCCTCTCAACCTGGCTGGCCCCTTCTCTTTGTGCTGCCCTCCAGGCTGCGGGCTCGGGATCCTGCTACTTATTCAGATCTTTGCCCTTCACCCTCCATCCTGTCCCCCAGCCTCCTTGCCTATCAGCTCCGAATCAAAGCCCCTGCCCAGAGTCCGCCTTCTCAGGTCCAGTACTCCGGGTTCACCTGCCCTCTGGAGCCCTCCTCCCTTCGGAAAACTCCCAGCTCCGACTCCTACTCAGCCCCTCCCCACGCCCTGCTCACCTTTAATTGAGATGCTAATGAGGTTCCTGTCGCTTCCATCCCTGGCAAGCCGGCAGGCGGGCTCCCCAGTCAGGCCGCTGCACCTGTCAGGTGAGGGGGAGGAGAGGCTTGGCTGCCAGATTCAACTGGAAAGGAACCAGTCCCAGTCCAGCCGCAACCTGGGAGTGGGAAGCTGGAGGCAGCCCAGACCTTCCGAAGCCCTGCTGTCCTAGGGCGGAGACGGAATCAGGACACAGCTCGAGGTCAGGGCCAGAGGCTGGAGGTGAGGATCTAGAGTGAGAGGGGTCAAGGCAAGGGGGAAGAAGAAGAGAGGCAGGATCAGAGAGAGCAGCCAGGCCAGGAAGAGGAGAGCTGGGAGAAACCCAAAGAGAAACAGAAGGCAGACAGAGAGGGAGTGAGAGGCAGGAGCTGAGACAGATCCCAGAGGAAGAAGACCGAAGGAGGAGGGCAGAGACTGCTTCGGAGACAGAAAGGGAGGCGCTAGGACAGAAACCAAAAGGTGGCCCTATCAGGGAAGTAGAGGGGAGGCGGTTCCGGGAAGCCCAGCCGAGACACTTCTGGCCCCAACTCCTGCAGGTCTGCTGGCTCCAGGAAAGGTGGAAGAGGGAGGGAGGAGTGGGAGAATGTGGGCACCGGGTGGGACGTGGGCCTGGCCAGGGGCAGCCTCACTCAGGCTCCAGAGGTGATGGGAGAGGGCACTCAGGGCCCAGAGCTCAACCTTGACCCTGACCCTTGCTCTCCCTAGTCCACCCCGGGGCTCATGAAGGGGGACAAGCTGGAGGAGCAGGACCCTAAAGCTCCGCAGCCCACGCCAGGGCTCAGGAAGGGGGACAAGCTGAAGGAGCAGGACTCTAGCCCTCCACAGCCCACCCCAAGGCCCAGGAAGGGGGACAAGCATGAGGAGCAGAGGCTGGGCCCCGAACCGGCGGCGCCCCAGCAGCCCACAGCGGAGGAGGAGGCCCTGATCGAGTTCCACCGCTCCTACCGAGAGCTCTTCGAGTTCTTCTGCAACAACACCACCATCCACGGCGCCATCCGCCTGGTGTGCTCGCAGCACAACCGCATGAAGACGGCCTTCTGGGCAGTGCTGTGGCTCTGCACCTTCTGCGTGATGTACTGGCAATTCGGCCTGCTGTTCGGGGAGTACTTCAGCTACCCCGTGAGCCTCAACATCAACCTCAACTCCGACAAGCTCGTCTTCCCCGCGGTCACCATCTGCACCCTCAACCCCTACAGGTCGGTCAGTCCCGCTGCCTCTTCCTGGCACCTGCGCCTGGAAGGGTGGTCCAGGGTGCTGAGGTGCTCAGTGGGCAGGCAGAGCCTCAGACCTGAGGGTGAGGAGCCCCCAGCTTGCTGGACTGACGTCCCTGCCCGGTGGAGCCATCCTAGCACCCGAGGCTCACTCAGAGTGTGGTTGTCAGAGGAGCATTGCCCTCCCCTGCCCTCTCTTCTCCTTCCCTCCGTTCTCTTCTCCCTCCTGCAAGTGGGAGGGAGTGCTTGCAAAAGGGCAGGGGTGTGCTCAGCTCCATCCCTCTTTGGGAGCAAGATGCCAGCCAAGTATAAGACCTCGTCCACCTCAGCAGGAGAGTCTGATGGAGAGGTGAGCCTAGGTGAGGGGCGGCGAGGCCACGCAGGTGCTGCCGAGGTGGGTGCTGTCGGTCTTTTTTCAGAAAGGGATGAAACAGATTTATGTTATGGAGAAAATAAGGTGGGGGGTCATGGAGGTTAGGGCTGCAAGTGAGCCCGAAGGCTGGGGACAGACGCTTTACAGAGCAAGGAGAATGGGTCCAGCCAGAGAGCAGCTCCTTGTGAAGCTGTTCCCCCAAGATCCCTAGGCTGAAAAGTGGAGGCGATCCCTCCAGCTGCACTGTTCACCTGTGCAGCTGCCTGACCTTTCCGTGCTTGGGTGTGTCCTAGAGTTTTGGGTTTCCTCAGCGCTCTTTGCCAGTGTTGGATCTGGAAACCAGAGGGGGTGGTAAGCATGGAGAAGAGAGGAGGGCAGGGCTGGTTGTTTTTATGTACCTTCTATTTGTATTCACTCAGCCACGCCACACCTTGGGGACACCTACGTCAAGCCAGATACTGGGCTAGACACCTGGCAAATGGATTCATGAATAATTCATACACCCTTATTGAAGGCCGGGTAGTTTGCTGAGTTCTGGGGACAGAAAGCTAAAATAAGATGGCAGAGACAGGTATACAGGCCAGCAGCTGTGGCACACTGGGATACGTATGATAAAAACGGTGAGTTAGTGTGCCTTCAAGGAGTGTAAAACCTTTATGAGTGTGAGTGTGTGTGTACATACTGGTATGTGTGTGATTATGGATGCTTGGGACTGGTCACGCTGTGGGTGGAGTCCCCTTCATATATTCCATCATGTCCAAAGGTGTGTTATGGACTGAGAAAGGTTGGGACGTCCTGTCCTGGAGAGAAGACAAAGCCAGGCCCTTTTGTTAATTAACCTCTGTATGCCGTCCCGGGTAGGACCATTTCCTTAGGAAGCTGCCATGTGCACAGACAGCGCCAAGGTGTCTGCAGGCATCTCAGTTCATTCTCACATCTTACCAGGCAGGTGCTCTTGTTATCCCTATTTTACACTTGAGGAAACTAAGGCAAAGAGAGGCAAGCCACAATGTCACCGAGCGAGCCACTGAACTGTGACTCATCCTGTCTACACCTCATCCCAAAACTCTGCCTCTTTTTAATAGCCAAGATGTGAGGTGTTGAGTGAATGAAATTTCCAGTCAGATGTGGTTTCCATCTCATTTCAGAGCTCTCATGGGTCCTTCCTCTCGGTCTCATTTTTCTCCCCCTGGTTCCTGCGGGCATCTTCATCCCTTTAGGCCTTGGTGGAGGGGAGGGACGCAACAGGAAGGGGAGGGACGGCAGGCCAGGCAAGGCAGCGGGCACTCAATAACTATTTGTGCTTGAAAAGATGTCAGTGCGAGATGGAGAGGGAGGGCAGGGGTGAATTGGGCGAGGCCCGCACAGTTCTTAGGTTCTGCTGGCTGCAGGACCCTAGACGGTCCAGGAAAAAGCCAGGGAGAGGAAGTCATAAGCCCTGCCTCTGGGGCCTGCAGGCTGGGAGGCAGGCATCTGCCCAGAAAGACTCCCTCCTGCTTGAAAGGCTGCTGCGGACTTAGGAGGGAGAGAACACCTAGGATGGGAGGGGAGTCGGGGAAGGCTCCCCAGCACGAGGGAAGGAGATTCAGCACCCACCCAGCACTATGTACTTGACTTTGTAGTCACATTATGTGTTATACCCTAAAACTGGGAGCTTATAGACACTCATTTAATACTGACAAGTCCAGGGAGGTGGCCATTATTATTTCCATTTCTCAGATGAGGAAATTAAGGCTTGGCAAGGGGAAATAATTTGAACAAGGGAACATACATTATTTATTTATTTATTAAATTAAAAAATACTGGCTGGGCGTGGTGGCTCACACCTGTAATCCCAGCATTTGGGGAGACCAAGGCAGGCGTTGAGGGGTCTGGGATGGAGCCCAAACAAGTTTGTTTCAAAGAGCCCCTCACTTGAGGCCAAGAGTTCGAGACCAGCATGGCCAACATGGTGAAACTCCCATCTCTAGTAAAAATACAAAAATCAGCTGGGCGTGGTGATGCATACCTGTAGTCCCAGCTACTCAGGAGGCTGAGGCAGGAGAATCACCTCAGGAGGCCAAGGTTGCAGTGAGCCGAGATCACACCACTGCATTCCAGCCTGGGCCACAGAGCGAGACCCTGCTCAAAGGAAAAAAAAAACAACACAGTAATAACACTTGTATATATTTATGTGCCAGACATTTTTATAAATGAATCTACATTTAAATTAAATGATTCTGCTTTAAATTATTTAATCCTCACAACACAACTTGGAAGTAGGTATCATGATTACTCTTTTTTTTTAAATATAAAGGCGGGGTTTCACCATGTTGGTCAGGCTGGTCTTGAACTCCTGACCTCAGGTGATTCGCCCGCCTTGGCCTCCAAAGTGCTTGGATTACAAGCATGAGCCACCACGCCTGGCCAGTATCAAGATTACTCTTATTTTATGGATGAGGAAACTGAGGCCCAGAAAGTTAAGTAACTGGCTCAACTTCAGACAGGCAGCAAGTGGTGAAACTGGGACTCAAAAATCATCCCCCTACCCCCGACGAGAAGCCCGGGCATCTCAGGTTAGCAGCCGAGTCGCAAATCAAGTGTGTTTGATTCAAGGCTCTTTTTCTCGTTACACTTTAAGTAGGGATCAGGCAAAGGCCTCCCAGGGTTGTGGCAGCTGGTGGGAGCCCAGCGTGTGGAGCAGCAGTCACAGGAGGACAACGTGTCAGGCGTGCAGGAGGGAAGGATCCTGCTCAGGAGGGAGGCAGGGCAGGTGGACAGGTTCATGCAGCCTGGTGTTGGCCACCAGTGAGTGAATCATGTGGAGCGCGGTAAGTGACTCCTACAGAGGAAATCAGTTGATGAGCTAGAGGGACTGGAGTGAGGCAGTCCTCCAGGGCTGCCCACCTGCCGAAGGTCACCACCAGCAGAGAGAGAAGAGGAAGAGGGGCATGTGGGACTCTGTGCTGCTTTCCAACTTCGAGGAAAGGGGACAAAGCGCTGAAGACCTTTCCGACTAAGCAAGGGAGTGCCGAGTCCAAAGGGAAGGGTTGGCCACTGCAGCCCCTTTCTCTCTGGTCAACAAAGCAGTTCTTCACTCAAAGGAGAGGGCCAGTCATACCTACAATCATGGGAAGCAGAGCCTACAGACATAGTTTTCATCCAGTCCCAGGAACGGTTTAGGCTGGACCTAAGAACTTGGGGTTCTTGAACAATGAAGGAGGTCATGGTAGCATCTTTCCTGGAAATGGCACAGCAGGAGGCCCGGCAGCAGGCGTGGGTGAGGCAAGGGCAGTTTCCCAGACAGAGTCCCTTGGGGAGGGTGGGAAAGCCCTGAGGTAGGGAGTCCGTCCCTGCCCGTGGTTCCCTGATGTGGCACCATGACCCTGCACTCCCTGGGCAGTCTGGACACCAGGCTTTGCTCAGCAGCCCTGGCAGGAGGAAAGCCTGGACTGCTAAGAGTTGACTCCCCTCTAGCCCTGCCACGGTGGTTGAATCCTTCTCATCTCAGGAACCTTGCTACCTCTACGGCAGATGCCATTAAAAAGTTCTTCCTGGCCAGGCACAGTGGCTCATGCCCGTAATCCCAGCACTTTGGGAGGCCGAGGCAGGCAGATCCCTTGAGGCCAGGAGTTCGAGACCAGCCTGAGCAACACAGTGAAACCCTGTCTGTACAAAAAAAAAAAAAAATTAGCCAGGCGTGGTGGTGTGCACCTGCGGTCCCAGCTCCTCAGGAGCCTCCTGAGGCATGAAAATCATTTGAGCCTCTCACTGCCCTGGCTGTTTATGCTCTGGGCGATCATTGGTTTGTGAGCACCTACTGCTCTTAAAATGTCCTAGGGCCAGGCATGGTGGCTCACACCTATAATCCCGGCAGTTTGGGAGGCTGGGGTGGGCAGATCACCTGAGGTCAGGAGTTCAAGACCAGCCTGGCTAACATGACAAAACCCTGTCTCTACTAAAAAATACAAACACTAGCCAGGCGTGGTTCTGTGCACCTGCTACTCGGGAGGCTGAGGTGAGGCAGAGAATTGCTTGAACCTGGGAGGCAGAGATTGTAGGGACCTGAGATCATGCCGCGGCACTCCAACCTGGGCAACAGAGTGAGACTCTGTCTCAGAAAAAAAAAAAAAAAATGTTGTAGCCAGGACTGAACTCCACATGTGATCTGAGAGCTCAGAACAGGCTCTAGTGGGGCGATCTCTGTTACCTGGCCTCTGTCCTCAGGGGGCTCACAGGTGAGGGGCACCTGTCTGCGAACACACTGTGGTGTGGGCTGAGCTTGGAGGGACTGTGTGTGGGGAGGACTCCCCTGGGGTTGTGTGTTCACAGCCCCCTTGGAGAAAAGACTGGAGATGCTGAGAGGTGGAGAATGGCCTGTGGCAGGGCCAGAAGGGGCCAAAGAAGGAGAAGTCCAGGCTTCTAGGTGTCCCTGCAGGTGGGAGAGAGCACTTGCTGGGAGGAAGTTAGTGCGTTTCTTGTGCCCAGCTCTGCCTGGTAATCTGGGAATGCTGGCTGAGTGCTCCGGTAGGGCCTCCGGGTGGGATGGGCCTAGGCAAGTCCCAAGGCTGTCAGGGTGATCATGGGCTCTTCTGTGAGAGGAGACCACCAGGGCTAAGAGGGAGGGAAGAGG